GGTAGTTGGTGCCTTCACTTCTTGTATTTTGCTTGTGCTTTTTGGTTTCTCTGACATCATCTACAATGAATTACTTGCATAACCAGAAAAGAAAACGCTACATTTTTATTTAAACTTCGTATCTTTTGACCCAGTAATTTCCCTTCTTGGTATTTTCTTTCTAAAGGAAACAGAAATTTGGAAAACATTTATGCACAGGCGTCTACACCACAGTGCAATTATAATAAAGGATAATTAGTTGCAAACAATCTAAAAATCATTAACAGAGTCACGGTTAAGTTGATAATGATAAAGCCATTTACTGGGGTTTCCAAAGATACTTAATGACATGGAGGAAAAGGCTTATGATTTAATGTAAAATAAAAAAAGCAGAATACAAAACTGGAGGTGCACCTTTGTTGTTGTTGTTAGCTGTTGTCGAGTTGGCTCCCATCTCGTGGTGACCCTATGTGTTACAGAGTAGAACTGCTTCATGGGGTTTTCTTGGCTATAATCTTTATGGAAGAAATTTGGCAGGCCTTTCTTTCGCAGAGCCATTGCAAAACACTTGTACCACACAGGCTGTGTAGGTACACCTTTACTACGATTTTATTTAAAAAGCATGTATGAAAGAAGGCTGGAAGGAACTACTTCTGAATATTAATAGTTGTTACTTTTGTATGGTGGGTCTATAATGATCATGTATAACCTTTGTAATCTGAAAAAAAAGTTTTAATATACTACAAGTGAAGGAAATAAAAAAATTAATGTCATCCTAGGTTGTATTAGTAGAGGTATAAGTTTTGGAGTAGATAGATAGCTGCCCTCGAGTTGACTTTGACTAGTGATGACCTTATGTGCTACAGAACGAAACGCTGCCCAGACCTGTGTCATCCTCATGATTGCCAGCATGTTTGTGTCCATTGTTGAGGCTTTTGTGCCAATCCATCTCACCGAGGGTCTCCCTTACCCTCGCTGGCCCTCTATGTTTTGGGGTAAGAGAGGTGATAATTTGGATTCTGATCACCTGGAGCATCATGTCGAGCACTTGGTTTGTGTGTGTGGGGGGGAGTATGTTAAGGAAAGTAGACAAACTGTAGGCTGGCTAGAGACCTCTGGAAATCAGGGTCAGCTGGAGGCATGGGAGAGGAGCTTAGGATGGGTCTGGTGGCTTCCTGCATGTGGCTGCAGCGCTTGTATGCGAAGGACAGAGCAGCTGAGCCTGTGCGGCCCTTGGGGTCAGAGCCAGGGCCGGTGGGAGAAGCTATAAGATGGAGAACAACGTTCCAACAATTCTGTGATGCATACCTCTTCCTGCAAACGTCAATGGTCACGCTGAGATTGGCATGGAAAGGAAGTGAAGGACCCCCAGTCAAGGCACTGGAGGTCAGCAGTGGAACCGTGAGGTCAGCAGCCCAGAGGTCAGCAAGCCAGCAAGTTGGACTGGGATGAAGCTTGACAGCACCCAGCCTGTCACCCCTGCTTTGTTTATGTGCAGTCCATGACGTTTATATGCTCTCATGGGTTACAGATAAGATGACCTTATGTGATGCAAAATTCCCAGTGCCTTGTACATAACCCCATCCTTTTCTTTCCTATGGAGGAAGGCAATGTGAGTTCAGATGATGGGAATTGATCTTATAATAGAAATAGCCTTGAATCTCCTCTGATTTATGAGAAATAGTACATCACTCATGAGGTTCAGGCCAATGATCTGTGACAAATCATCCTGTGCAACGTTCCTCACGCCTGATTGCCACCTACCTGTTTCTAATCCAACCCTTCATTTGACAATGGGGAAACTAAGGCCCAGAGCAGGGGAAGAGCCATAGTCATGTGAGTGTGGCCAAGGTGGGAGGCGGGAGACCAGCCTCCTAACTCCAGACTATGGCTCTTTCTGTGACCGAGAGCTGCCTGTTGTCAACTTGGATTTTGGTGGTGGTGAGGGATGGGCTGGTGGGAAGCAGAAGCAAAGGAAGAAAATGAGAGGTGAATCTGCGGTGTTCCATCCAGGCCACATCAACAAGGAAATGCTTAATAACTTCAGCCGTCCAGCACCAGTGCTTGGAGGGGAGGTGTGCCCAGTGGGTGGGTGAAGGTTATAGCCACTCTGCGTTGCAGTAGTCTTCACCCCACTGCACCGCTCCCACCCCAACCTATATGGCCTGTCCCCACTACACCAACCTTAACCCTCCACCCCTAGCCCAATTGCCGTTGTGTTTGTGTGGCCACCAGTCTAGGGCCCAAGTTCAGCCTTGTTGAAGGTCCAAGTCCCTGAGCCCCAGCCTGACCCCAGCCCCAACACTGAGCTCAGAGCTGGTTAGTTTTATGGGAGGGGAAGGATGGCCTCCTCACTCACTTCAAACTTTCTTCACCTACCTTGGCAAACTAGGACAGATAGAGAACACCAGAAACATAGGCTCCCAGGGCCCTCAGGTGGGGCAGACTCTGAGAGAGCAACCTCTGACCCACAGCCCTCCCTCTCACCCTGGCTAGGGGAGAAGCCTCCTGAAGTCATGCTCCCCCAACACGTCAACAGCCTCTTTTCTGCCCAGTCTGACTCCCTCGCTCATTTCATAACCAAAGCGAATGCTGGGCTAGGCCCATGGGGGAATAAAAATGTCTCCCTGGCAATACCTAGGGACTTATATGGGGAGATGAGCTACGCAAGTACTAAGCAGTGGTCCAGATTCCTGAGAGGTAGAGGTGATTGCTGGGGAGGTGCCTGGGGGAGTCAGGGAGGGCTTCCTGGAGGAGGAAGGACCTAAGTTAATAAAACAAAAACTGAATTTTATTGCACGATTACTATGAACCAGACACATTCATATACTTTTTAAAAATTTTATTTCTTGCCACTTGTGAGGCAAGTGATATTATTTTACAGATGAGGAAACTGAGACTCAGAGAAGGAATGATTGGTTTCAGAGCACTCGGCTTGTTTAGGTTGGAGGCAGCATTTAAATTCAGGACCCTCTGATGCCAAAGCTCATCTTACTCTTTCTTCTGCCTTTTCCAGAGTACATAGTGTTTAAGGACTGGTGGCGTTTGGAAGTGTGTGTGGGGTACTCCAGGCTGGCAAAGGGTGAGTTTGGGGAGCAGTGAGGAGGCTGCCTGGTTGGGTCTTAGGGACTCAGAGGGAACAACGGGAGCCTGTAACTTCTCAGGCTGAGCCTTCAGACTTGATGGGGAAGCAGTGAGTGAGTGAGTTAGTGTGGGGTGGGGGATACAGAGCTGGCTCTTTGGAGGCCTATCCTGGTGGGGGAGGGCCAAGTTGCCAACCTGCTGCAGTGACATCGTGGCTCTCAGGAAAAGCATGCAGTCACAGGAGATGGGCACCCATTCCCTCCTCCAGCTCAGACCCCGGATCTTCCTGGGGTGGGGAGAACAACCAGCTTGCCTCCGAGCGCCACTACTTGAGTGCTCTTCCCTACCTGGGTCACTCTTCCGTGTGGAAGACCAGCTCGGTCCACACTGGGCTCATTCTCCTGTATCCTAGATGGCCCTTCAGACCCTGAACATCCCTTAGCCCTGGCCACTCCCTCCCTCCAGGCCTTTGCAGTTTTCTGTGCCCAGATCCTCAGCGTCCTCCTCCCTCCCGGGCGGATTCCTACTCCCCTTTCAAGATCCAGTTCAAGTGTGAATTTTTCTCTGCAGGCTTCATGACTCAGAGGCAAGATTCAGTCCCACCACTAGACTCCTCCACCTCTCTATAAACCAGTTGCTCTTCAGTTGATTTCAACTCATGGTGACCCCATGTGCGTCAGAGTAGAAATGTGCTCATCGGCTTTTCAGTGGTTGATTTTTCAGCAGTCAATTGCCAGGCCTTTCTTCTGAGGTGCCTCTGGGTGAACTTGAACCACCAACCTTCTGGTTAGCAACTGAGCACATTAACTGTTTGCACCACCCAGGGGCCATCGTTTTCACCGAGTTCTGAGTGTATGGCAAGGAGGTACAGTGCAGGCCTTTGAGTTGCTTTTTCTGGTGGGTAGACTAGAAAGTGCCAAGGTAGGAAGGGACAGTGACCTAAATGCCCTCTCCCTAAACACCAAGAGGTCCAGGATGAGGTGGGATAGGGGAGCAGGGTCCATTTAAGCTGGACTGTGAAGGATTTAGCTGGCACGTGTGCTTGGAGAGCAAAGTGTCCAGTGAGAGTAAACACACTGCAAGGTGCAGAATGGCTTGGGAACCAGACAGGCATGGGGCAGGATGGGGAAAGTGCTGCTCTGGCTGTTGATGAACGGGCAGGCCACTGGGGCTCGGGCAGCGGGGATGGAGAGAAGTGACTGGTGCCTGAAGCCCTCCAAAAGGCAGAGTGTTTAGGACTCAGGACTGCAGAGAGGCAGAATGTTAAGAGTTTGAGGGTTGAAGGTGCTGGCTGGATTTGGGGTTGCAGAGGCCAAAGAGATTATGCAGGACCAAAAAGAAAAGGAAGCCTGGGCAAAATAACTGCCTCCCCCCCACTGCCCCCCGAGGCATATCCCGACAGCATTAATACACACCCAGCTTGTGATCAAGTCCTGTTTATTTTAGAAGCATAAACAGCGGAACTGGGAAGGAGTGATGAGAACAAGGCCCCAGTCCTCTTGACAGGGTCAGCTCCAGACCCATAGTCTTCCCCCATCCCCCCACCACCCACCAGCACAGGCGCTGTCTACCTGGGTGATCAAGGCCGACCCAGCAGCCTTGATCAGCCTTTTCCTGTGAGGAGAGGGTGTGAGGACCACCTGGGCTGAGGTGAATCTTCCATGACGGTGGGAATGGGGCTAGTGGACTCTGGAATCCTCTGGACCGGGTGAAAAAGGCCAGAGGGCCCCCAACATCTTTGGCCAGGACCACCCTAAGCTAGCTTTGTCTGTGTCTGGGACAAAGCCATGTTCTAGAGGGGAAGGCATGGTATCCTCTGGTTCCAGGAAGGTACCCAGGTGTTCAAAACAACCTGCAACGAGGCCCCAGCCCTAGCCATCTCAGAGTCTTAAGGGAGGGAACATCCAAGGCAGCAGACTTGCCAAGGCCCCTCTGTTGGATGACATAAGCCCCAGGCTCCTACACATACTGTTTCTTGGAAGCAGAGCTGCTGGGGCGGCTGGGGAGTTTTCGGCCACTCTGAGGGGGTGGGTCCAAGAAGAGGGGGGGCCTGGAAGAAGCCAGTCTCTCCTCTGTGTTCAGGTTGGCCCAGTTCTGCTCACTGGATGACAGCCCATTGTAGGTGGGGCATGGTGGGGACGAGGGCCCCTCGCCCATGGGGAGGTAGAAGAAGACCTGGTCAGTGTAAGCGTCCGAGGAAGAGCCCTGAGCTGGGGGTGCCTCCTGGCCCCGCCTAGCCCTCATCCCCCGGCTGAGGCAGCGGCACAGCAGGTGCACCAGCTCCAGCAGGTTGAGCACCAGGGAGATAAGTCCGACCACCAGCATGAAGATGATGAAGATGGTCTTCTCCGTGGGGCGGGAGACAAAGCAGTCCACGAGGTAAGGGCAGGGTGCACGCTGGCACACGAACACGGGCTCCATGGTCCAGCCGTAGAGGCGCCACTGGCCGTAGAGGAAGCCTGCCTCTAGCACGCTCTTGCACAGCACGCTGGCCAAGTAGGTGCCCATGAGCGCCCCGCGGATCCGCAGGCGCCCGTCCTCCGCCACCGAGATCTTGGCCATCTGACGCTCTACGGCCGCCAGGGCCCGCTCCACCTGGGGGTCCTTGGCGGGCAGAGCACGTAGCTCCCCCTCCTTCTGCCGCAGCCGCTCCTCACGCCGGGACAGGTAAATGACATGGCCCAGGTAGACCAGGGTGGGAGTGCTGACAAAGAGGAACTGCAGCACCCAGTAGCGGATGTGGGAGATGGGGAAGGCCTGGTCGTAGCAGACATTGGTGCATCCTGGCTGGGCCGTGTTACACTCGAAGTCCGACTGCTCGTCGCCCCATACCGACTCGCCAGCCAGGCCCAGGATGAGGATCCGGAAGATGAACAGCACTGTCAGCCAGATCTTGCCTACCACAGTCGAGTGTTCCTGGACCTGGTCCAGCAGCTTTTCGAGGAAGCCCCAGTCGCCCATCGCTCCCGGGCCTCTGTCTGTGGGGAGACAGAGAGCAACATCAACAGGACCAAGAAACTAGCCTGCAGGGAGGTCTGCCATCCCATTTTACAGACAGGGAAACTGAGGCTCGGGGAGGGGAAGGGACTGGGCTTCAGCTCACAGCCAGCAGTGCAGACAGGACCCAAAGCAGATTTTTGGGTGATGGATGCTAAGCTCTGTGCATCCTCTCATTCTGCTTCTCTGAATGGCAGGGGTACGGTAGAGATACCTGCCTAGTCATACCTCTGTGTCCCTCTTCCCCCAGTCAGAGCCCCAGGATGACCACAGCCCAAAGAGACCAGGATCAAGTTGAGGCTCCGGAGCCTATGGGAACAGAGAATTTGAGGAACTTATCCAAGTTCACACAGCTGTGCTGTGCCCTTCTCCCTTCTGCCCAAGGCTGGCTACCCCCAGACAGTTGGGGGGCGGGGATGCTCTCTTTAGCTTCCCAGGGGCCCTGCTCCCCTCCCTCTCATGTCTCACCTAGTTGGCCTCACTCTACCCTAAGCTTGGGGATGGAGGGAGGAGAGGTTTTCAAAAGTTTAGAAGGTAATGTCCTCCATCAGTTCCACCTGTCAGCAATAATGACCACCTGTGACTTAAGTATGGACACTTGGTCCTGCCTTCTCCTCCACTCATCCCCACCCCGCAAGCTGTCGCTGCTAAATTCTAGACTCTTGGGAGGAACTGTCATTGCAGGCGGAGGCACAGGCCACCGAGTTCCCAGCATGTCTGGGAGGATGGGGTGGGGAGGGAGGTAGGGGAATGGGAGGAGGGAGGTGCCTCTTCCCGGACAAAGCGGTTTAGACCCCAGCTTTAGAACCAGACCTTGGTTCAAATCCTGCCTCACCCTTACCAACCGGAGGCTTGGATAAGTGACAACCTCTCAGAGCCTCAGTCTCCTGTAAAGCGGAAATAATAGTATTCCTACTTGTTAGGATTCTTGTAAGGATTCAAGGAAAGGCTGTAGGAAACGCGCTTAGCACAAAACCTGTCCCACCTCAGGCTGGTGAGCGTGTTGGCTGTGCTTCCCCTCACCGCGCGCCCCGCAGCTCCCCTCAGCCCCGGCAGGTGGCGGGACTCTTGTCCCCGCCCGACCCCTGCTTACAGGTGGCTCTCAGGCCCGCCAACTCACCGCCTGCCTGCCGGGCTAAGCCAGGTGGGGACGCACGATCGCCGCCGCGGCGCCCGAGGGAGCCCTGCTGGACGGCGCCAGGCGGCGGGGGCGCCTTAAATAGCGCGGAGGGGCGGGGTGGGGGCAGGAAATGGGCCAGGGAGGGCGGCGGGGCGCTGGAAAAAGATCCGGGGAGGGGGCGGGGGCAGGGGTGGGGAGGGGCAGGTTCCCTGAATCAGCTCTAAAGCAAGGGGCTCTGGAGACGGCGCTGTGTGAGTTGAGGGGCCTGGTAATTCCCTTTCCTTGCTCTCACATCACCAGCCGACATTCCAGACTGTAAAGTCTCACGGTCCCAACTCTGTGAAGAGGTGTTTTCGGAAGGATTACAGCGGGGAGCTTGCTGATCCTGGCAAGTGACGGATGCGGTGGGGAGGGGATGAAGATGTAGAGGGTATGTAGGGTAGGGCCCTCCCTTGACCCAGGGGACCTGTTGCCCTTGGTGAGAGGAAAGTAGACTACTCCTTTAGTAGGTGGCCAGAGTGTGCCAGGCACTGTGCTAGGACCTCAGCAATGAAGCTCATTAGGACTCAGAGAACCCCACTGGGAAAGGGAGGTTATGATTGCACTTCATAGAGTGCATGGTGGGGCTGGGGTCCCAACCCAGTCTGTATTCTTCTAGAATTCTGCCTCGGGAGGCAATGTCCTAAATATCCTCCTTCCTGGGCAGGCTACACCATCAGAGGTCACTAAGTAACTTTCATGGGCTCCTTGATAGAAAAATGGATCCCATTCTTGTCTCTAGGTTGGGGGGTGGAGGAGAGCCAGCCATCATTCATTCTGGCATCACCCCGTGGGTGAACACTAAGAGGGGTCTGCAGTGCTGCAGGTATTGTGCGTGGAGCTGGAGACAACCATAAACCAGCCGGGATGGTCTCTGGCCTCCAGCTCTCACAGGCTGGTACAGGAAGCAGACATCGAGCACCTTTGTTCTTGGATAACAGGACAATTATAAATGTGGAACATTCTTCTGAGAAGTACAGGGAGACTCACAGGGGACATGATTAGGAACATTTCCTGGAGACTGAGTCAGCCCGGTGAAGCGGGAAGAGCATAGTAGGCAGAGGAACAGCATGAACAAAGGCCCAAGGACCTGGGCTTATGCGGTCTTGGCCACTGCCCCCAGGATCTCAGAATTTCCTGGCCATGGAGGCGGCAGAGCCAAAAAGTTGAGACTTGGCTGTTGACCCCCTGTGTTCTTAGGCAAGTTGCTTAAACCCCTGCACCTCAGTTTCTTCCTCTATAGAATGGGGATAGTCATAGTACTTGCTTTGCAGGGTTAGGGGAAGATTCAATGGGCTAATCTAAAGCACAGAGGGAATGGAGCTCGAGAGGGGTTTTAGAAGGTTTGTTGATACATATTATTGGTACATAGAACATTTTCAAGCAAGGTGGCTAAAAAAAGTTGTGACAAAACTTTTATAACAAGAAAGGTCTGTGGGTTGTAGAAGGGGCTGAGGGAGGAGCTCAGGGTACTGAGTAGTGGTGGTGGTGGTGGTGGGGTGCGGGCAGCTAAGGAAAGGGAAGGTAGAGGTGGAGGCCTGGGGCTGGGTGGCAGGAAGGCCCCTGTTTCTCCATAGCAGGATTCAATTCTTGACTCTCAGGCCCAGGGCTGGGGCCCCGAGGGTTCTGCCCTTAGCCCCAGGAGAAGGATTGTCTGGGGCAGCTCAGACCTCAGAACTTCAGGGATGGTGGCCCCTGCGGGATGGGATAAAGTGACTTCTAGTCTTCT